AGTGTGAGACCTAATGTTGAATTTTCTACTATCCTCACCTCTCTAGTTTAGGTAAATCTCACTAATTGCAAGTCAATATATCAATAAATAAGGATTTTCCATAGTTTGATTGCTTTAATCTCTATGATTTAATTAGGCTAATAATCCCTTATCAAAAGTCAAATTTTCTCAAATAAGTGTTGGGACATAACCAAGGCATTTGGTGCGTCTTCTGTTTCATGCACTTGCTTTTTCTATTTTTTTTCTCAATCAATTTTTTTTAACACTCCTTTTTTTTTCCTTTATTTAAAGCATTCTCTCACTTAAACTTTCTAAATGACCCATGTAACAAGTTTTCGGTCGATAACTCCCAAATCAGATGACCATAGGGCACCAGATTTTAAAAATCCTTACAGGCTTAATTGCTCGAGTCATAAAAACTACGAAGAGAAATTTTCAAATAAAATATTTTTTTTGCCTTAATTAGTGCAATGTCTCTCATTAAATACAAATTTAAGTAAAATGACTTCTAACTCGAGATTTTCACCCAATTGCTTCCTATTGACTTGAGACAATCTACACAAGATTTTTTTTATTTCACACAGGGAATCCCAATTTATCTCAATATCTTCCCACAACAGTGAAATCCCCCTAAACTATTCTAAATTTGGTCTAAAGATGTAAAATTTAGTGGTTTTGGGTTTTAACATCTATGGTCCACTATTTCAACCTATCCAATTATGAAATCAACTTATTCTTACACAATACTTAACTTAATTCACGTGCTCAATATATATCAAATTTTACATGGAAAAATAAAAATTAATATAAGCATGCAACTTATTCACCANATATCAAATTTCACATGGAAAAGTAAAAATTAATCTAAGCATGCAATTATTCACCATTAATAAATCAATTTATAATTCAATACATTCTCATTGCCAGCCAGATCAGCTAACTCATACAAGCACACAAAAAGAAAGTATTTTTGAAATTTTTGAAATTTTCAATTTTTTTCTAAAGCAATAAACGCATACAAAAACACATAAAACACAACATAAAAAAAACAAAAGAAAACTCATGTTTTCCACAATGTTTTAAATTTTAAATCCGCATATAAAGGGGTGGGGAAGAAAATGAAAAAAGACTCCCCTGATATGGCTTGTAATCCAATGGCTAACTTTCATATTGCTCCTGTAAGCTCCTTGGTTCTAGTTGGTTTAAGTGTTCTGAGACGTTATGTTCTTGCACAATGCGATCAAATAAAATATTCAAGATCAAATACATGGAACAAGTGTTACTTAACTCTAACATCTAATAAACCAGCTAACATAACGAAGACCTAAGGGAAAATGATGTATGGATGATGAGTCCCTAAAATTGATTAAAAAAACATGAATGAAAAAAAAATAAAATTAATCTAAGTTATCTTAAATTATTCTAAGACTAGAAAACAAAATAAATAAAAGGGATAAAAGTGTTGGGTTGCCTCACAATAAACGCTTTGTTTAAAGTCCTTAGCTTGACTTTATAGTTTCGACATTATGGAATTTTGAAGAACGCTTTTGATACCTTGCTCAGTTTGTCTCTTCTGACTTTAATATACTCTTCAT